TATAGTAAGGCATAAAAATGTAAAAAAATGACACAATACAGTAAGGCTTAAAAATGTCATAAAACGTCATAGTATAATAATGCATCAAATTTCATAGTATAGTAAGGCATAAAATGTCAAAAAATGTCATAGTATAGTAAGGCAAAAAATGTCAAAAAATGACATAGTATAGTAGGGCATGAAAAATGTCAAAAAATGTCATAGTATAGTAGGGCATAAAAATGTCATAAAATGTCATAGTATAGTAAGGCAAAAAATGTCAAAAAACAACATAGTACAATAAGGCATAAAAATGTCAAAACATCATAGTATGATAAGGCATAAAATGTTATTGTAAAGTAAGGCAAAAAAAAATGTCAAAAAATGTCACAGTATAGTAAGGCATAAAAATGTCATAAAATGTCATAGTATAGTAAGGCAAAAAATGTCAAAAAACGTTATTGTAAAGAAAGGCAAAAAACAAAAAGAAAAAAATGTCAAAAAATGTTATTGTAAAGAAAGGCAAAAAACAAAAAGAAAAAAATGTCAAAAAATGTCATAGTATAGTAAGGCAAAAAAATGTCATAAAACGTCATAGTACCGTAAAGCATAAAAATGTCATTAAACGTCATACTATAACAAGGCATAAAATGTCATATGTAAGGCATAAAAAATGTCAAAAAATGTTAAACATTTTAAACATGTAAAGAAAGGCAAAAAACAATGAGAAAAAATGTCATAGTAAAGTAAGGCAAAAAATGTAAAAAATCGACATAGTATAGTAAGGCATGAAAATGTGAAAAAATGTCATAGTATAGTAAGGCAAAAAATGTCAAAAAATTACATAGTATAGAAAGGCATAAAATTTCAAAAAACGTCATAGTATAGTATGGCATAAAAATGTCATAAAATGTCAAAGTATAATAAGACATCAAATTTCATAGTATAGTAAGGCGAAAAATGTCAAAAAATGTCATAATATAGTAAGGCATTAAATTTCATAGTATAGTAAGCCATAAAATGTCATACTATAATAAGGAAGAAGACGCAAACTACACAGAGAAGTGTGCCAAGACCTGGACTTGAACCAAAACCAAAAAACGACACAATACAGTAAGGCATAAAAATGTCATAAAACGTCATAGTATAATAAGGCATCAAATTTCAAAGTATAGTAAGGCATAAAATGTCAAAAAATGTCATAATATAGTATGACATAAAAAATGTC